CGTGCGCAGAGTCGCATGCCTCAGACGACTGAGATGCAAGTGCACTTGTGCGCTGGCCCAGCCACAACAGTGCTTCGCAAGCTCTCGAGCTGCCGCCCGGAAACTGCGTGCTGAGCTTCTCGAACGCTTCAAAGATGGAAATGAGATCATCCTCCGGCGCCTGTCCATGAATCCAAAACACTCCACAAAGTCCAACAAGATGTTCGCGAAGAGGGAGGCTCACGGCTGGAACTCAAAAGCAAGATGCATAGCGCCAATGGCAACGCTCGCCTCTGTGACCTCAGTTTGAAAGCAGCCGTCCGTCAAGTGCGCGTAACGGGTGCACTTTTAAATGCTCTGAGGGGGCAACATTCGCGAACAATGCTGTGCTGTCCACAGAGCCTGCCATGCTGCATCGGATTTCGGATGTCACAAGGTTGATGCGAGATCCCTCATAACTTCAAACAGAGCCAAGAAGCAACATGGATGCTGATACTTGCTCACAGCTGGCTCAGTACTGGTATCACTAGGTCAGGCTGTGGAGTCCATATGAAATGCGTGATTTGATAGGCGAAGGGCTAAGCACTCGTCTCAACACATCGGGATCCGAAGCTGGGATCTGACTTTTAAATGGTGAGCCCATGGGATGGCGGTTTAAACCTTCAGTGCTGCCAGAAACATCTGACAGTCACAAAACATGAAGCATGCAGCGCCCACGCCTTTGCGTTGTTCCTCTGCCGCTGGCTTTTCCTTGTCTGACTGCGACCGCGGTGTTTGCGGTGTCCCATCCTGAAACAGAATGAACACATGCAACGCAGTTGCACTCATTGATGTTCAATTCAAGCTCCTCTTCAAGGATTTGGCCGATGTTCTCCTGCCCGATCTCGAAGCACTGCGTGCACTTCCAAACACAGACACACACTTTCACGCTCAAGCGGTGCATGACAAGCTGCATTCACTCGTCATGGTCACCAAGCGCTGCCACAAAAGCACTGTCACAAGATTGACATGATTCCTCACACACTTCCCCCAACAATCCACGTTGCAAGGATGCGTGGGTATGCAGTTCGGCTATCTCGAGGCGTGAAAAACGTAACAGACCTAACACCTGTGAGGTCCTGTAAGATTTAGTCTTGCCAGCTGCGGGGCCTGGCTTTCTGCCAACTTGCCGGGTACAGGTACGAATGCTTGTGTCCCATCCCATCCAGCTCACGTCAGGAACTACGTTGGTACAACTGAAATAAAATAATCATTGCGCAAACAAAACCACAAATGTCGATGAGCTCAGCGTTTCGGCAACTTGGTTCGGCGCTCTTCAAGCGCATTTTGGGGCTCTTCAGGCACTAACCCCATGCAATGCTAGCGCACGCTCAGGCACAGACTGCACGACTTGCTATCGACTATGATAGACATGTACCGTCAAAACTGCGGCTGATGCACCTACCGGGTGGCCCCATTCCAGCTTGAGCTAGCTGGTTACATTCAAACATACACAGACAGATTCTTGTCAGTGATGGGTAGGATGCCATCATCGAGACTCCATCATGGTATCAGATACCAGATCAACGAGCTGATGGGCCTACGTGCAAGTAGGCAGAATTGCAGGATAATGAGTGCAGTGTAGGTTTAGGATAGTCTTCGTGACTAGACGTGGTGCTTGACCTCGGGTTTGTGACTGTTTTTGAGGTTTCTGGTACTGGAAAGGTGTCTGCTCGCCGGCAGAGCAGGAACATTTGGGAGACTGCGCCCTTTGCAATGCCCGCAGCGCATGTGCTTTCAGTGTAAGACAACACTTTTGAGAGCCCAACGAAAGAGTTTCTTCTTTTTTGGGATCGAGTCCTGCGACGGCTCGTGAGCGAAACTCCTCCTGAAACCTCGGGTTGATCACTTGGCATGGCAAAGGTGAGGTTGTGAGAAACAATGCAACATGCAATCAAGGAGCTCAGAAGGGCTCCCCGCATCTTCAAGTGCGACTGTCAGATCCGCACAGATGCAGGTAAGCAAGACAGAAAGTATTCATGCATGCGCAGTCCCGCCTTCACTCTAGCAATCAGTTCTTGCCGGCAAAATGGCTTGTGAATCCAGTCTGTGCAACCTAGTTCATATCCTGGGTTGATAGCGAAAGAGCTGTCGTCATGTGAGCAGCTCTGAAGCGACAGAACTCTTCATGCGACTTCTGGCATCATACATTCCGAGCTGCCCTTCACCACGGAGCTTGATTGGTTCTTGGCCTTGAAAGCATGGCACATAGAGCAAGCGGTGTAGCTCTGCTTGTCACTTTTGTCCTGCATTCTGTTTGCTTCGCTTGCCTGCCGTCTGCCCACAAGTCAAGGCATCGCCAGCCGTGTTTTGGGCTTGAGAAGTACTTGTGCGGTCAGGAAGGGAACTGCTTGAAGTCTGTCCGATTCTTCCTTCCCGGCAATTGTTGAAGGAGCACCTATTTGCCCGCCCACCTCGCTGACTCTTTCAAAGTGCCCCGAAGTGACCATTCTCACAATTCTCTCAGCTCTCACAACTCTCACATTTCTCACAATTCTCACATCTCAACATGTTTTTAACACTCGCAACATTACTAAACAGTGCTGCGTGTGCTGATCTGCAGTGAGAGCGGGTCCCGTCTTGTTGCACTGGCCAGGCAACGACCTGCAAACCTCCCCTGCCACACGTACCAGTATCGACAAGATACCCTAACAGAATCAGGTCGTTCCTAGCTGGATTCTTGAAACTCATTCCCACCCTTCTTGCCAGAACTACACAGAGAATCAGCAGCAAAGTGTGAGCTAAGCTGTCGGCAGACACCATGATGACAGGAAGTTCGCCGAGCTGAAACTTGCTCTGCAGAGCTTGCAGAACGTCAAAGCCACTCAACCCCGGCATCATCAAGTCCTGCGAGACGTTGTCCCATTACAGTCACTAGTCACTAGTGTCCCGCTAGAGTCGCTAGAGACCTGATGGCAAGTCTCAACACAGGACTCTGTCTATCTCGGCATGGCTTTAGGCTTCATTTGCAACGAGCCGCCAGTAAGAGCAACTGAGGACGTGGATTGTCGGCATCCAAATATTCCAGACATTCCGTCCCACTCATGCAGGTAATCACCCTTAGATGTCACAAAGCCATTGTTTCACTCAAAGCGGGCATCGGTTCTCCGTTTCGCCAAGCCCTCAGCCAAGCAGCTGGAATCCGCTAGGTTCCAGTATGGATCGCATTACCTCCTGGTTGACGAAGTCATCATCGACGGACATGATAAGGTTTTGACCCTCAGCATCCTGAAATCTCACTCATCTCACCGGTGCAGGAGGCAAACAGTCGGCAAACACAAGAGTCCTCAAAGTTGTAGGCTGACATTCCCTCCTGAAACGACAATGTGACAAATGCGATTAGCTCGAAAACTGGCCGAAAGAGCTGCGCCTTCAGAGCTGGAAGTGATGAGGCAGTTGCACTGCCTGCGCCGATTGACAACGCTGTCAAGGATTCAATGTGTGAGAACTTCTCTATCACCCTGGAGGTATGATCCTAAGACTCTAAGACTACACTCTTGTCTTGGTGACTTGGTGGGTATTTTCAAGGCCTGTTGTGCAGATTACGGGGCGCAGGTTGGATCTTCTCGTCTTTTCACTGCAAGACCGGCATCTAGAAACGACTTCATGCAGGTGTCAGTGTCAAGCACTCTGCATGGTTGCGAAGTTCTGTGCTTGCTCAAACCTCCTGCGGGATTAGAAGCTTCCACACTGCTTCCGATACTGGGTAAAATGCCTCCCTCCATTGGTGGAGATGGTCTGGCATTGATTTGAATACCTCACCGGCTTCCAGCGTAGCTGCAGACACGCCATAGACTCCCATGAAAGTAGCAAAAACAACCGAGAGAGCAAACTGGCGTTGGTACGCGGTGACTCTGCATGGCTCCATGAGACTTCAATGCTGCAGCATCAAAGTTGTGTCATTGTGGACAGACAAAGTGAGAGAATCTAAGTCCCGGGTGCCAATCTGCGTGCTCGGGCCAAGCCAAGACGACGGAGGTCCACGAGGCTTTGTACCTGGCAGTGGCACCTGGCACATGCAATGCACACGCAACGTTGGCACGTGCAGTTGCATTTCCTGACTTTCGTGGCTCGTGCCTTCTTGCTTTCCTGCTTGTCCTCGCATCATGGACCGCATCACCGACAAGGCATGCAGGCGTTCTTTTGCATGCAGCCGCAGCGACCTCCTCCTGTGTACTTGCTGCAGCGAATCCATTGCAGGATGGTGGCATGAAAGGTAAGGTGACCTCATTTCCCATGGAGTCTTCGTGCATGGTGCATCACGTCCAAGGATGCTTGGACCTAGTGGCAAGGCCTTCACAACCGCCCCTTTGCCGGTCGGAGGTTCAAACCTGATACCTCGGCTGCTGCAGGTTCGAAGAATCTGGCAAAATGAGAAGAGCCCAAGGGCTACAAGTAAGGCCATGACTCCCATGATGTATCCGTGCAACTTCTCGTACCATGGCAAGTCCCACACCAATTCCATCAAACTTTCCTGAACTCACGATCACGTGTTTATCCTACCTTGCATGCATCATTAGCTCCGATATGCACAGCTGGCGGACGAGGGGAGACTCCTCTCTTTTGAGTCTCCCATTTCGAACAGCTTAGTTTTGCATGCAAGTCCAACTTACTCCACGGATGCTCTCAGCGATGGTCTAGGACATCCATATCAGTTGCAAAGGCACGGTCTCCGCTCTCCAGCTTCATGCCAACACCTAGCAGACGCTTCTCTCATCTTCTCCCATGTGTGAATCGCACGCCACCGTGAAGTGCAGCAGTTGGATCAGAATTGTCGTATTGAGGAGACGACTTAAAAACAAGGAGGGCAAAGCAAGAGGGAAATACAACAAGCCTGTATCTGAAATGGTAATGACTGCGCACTGCTTCTCCTTGTCCTCCTCCACCGTGAAATTGACCTTGAACTACCGTAGATGGCTGATAGGTTTGGTAGGTTTGAAGGGAGCTGAGTGAGCTTCAGCCAAGATACCTCTCCGTCTGCTGTGAACTTGTATGCCTCAGAGTCAGACTGCTCCAGCTCTTTAAGGACTTGAAGCGGTTTTCTGGTTGCATCCAGGTCACGTTCAAAAGGATCTGGATCATCATCTGTGTGAGCGCATACCCATCGCCCGAGATGGTCACACTCGGCAGATTCGTCTTCAACTCAACCTGTAGATCGAAGAGGCTAGAGTGGATCCAGAGGCAGACCCCCGTGATAAACGCGCTTACTCTCACAAATTTACTGGGACCACCGAAGACGCTGAACGCACTGTTGGAGGACAGTTCCTCTGGGTTTCTGCTGAGGGTGGCTAAAAGTGCTGTGGGCTAAGATTTCAGTGGACATGGACTTGAGAGACTTGGCGAAATTTCCCAAAAGATGACCCACAGACTCTACGCTGAACATCTTGACACCGAATCGGAATCGGACCCTGTCAAGGGCCTTGTCCTTCTTCAGAGGCTTGCCGCGCTTGTCCTTGAAAGCTTCGCACTTGGTGATGCAGTCTTGGGCAAGCACCTTACACTTGGGACACGCAGAAAAGTCGAGCATGGTAATTATGCATGCGTTGTGCGCTCTGTACCTCCAGCAAGGCTTACAAGCTTTCGTGCCGGCTGCTCTCCGGCGTCTTTTTCCTCGACCCGCGGTCGCTTTCTGTGTCTGCGCCCGACCTCTTGCGCAGACTGAAAACTCCGAGGTACACGGATTGGACCGTAGGCCCTGCCAGGGTCCAACTAACATGACGTAACAAGCGTTGCGACTCGAACTGAGTGATTATGATTAAGTGCCATTCTAGCTTCTGTAGTAGTAGTCGTAGTAGTAGTAGTAGTAGTAGCAGTAGTAGTAGTAGTAGTAGTAGTAGTCGTCGTCGTCGTCGTCGTCGTCGTCGTCGTCGTCGTCGTCGTCGTCGTAGTCGTAGTCGTAGTCGTAGTCGTAGTCGTAGTAGTAGTAGTAGTAGTAGTAGTAGTAGTAGTAGTAGTAGTAGTAGTAGTAGTAGTAGTAGTAGTAGTAGTAGTAGTAGTAGTAGTAGTAGTAGTAGTATTATTATTATTATTGACACAGGGAACGTGACAGCAAGCGCCCAACTTCAGAGGAGCCCGCAGAGAATCCCGCCTGACCTCCGCTTGGAGGGAACTCCAACCTTTCCCTCCCGGCCCTGCAGGCTGCTTTGTACAACAGCATGCCTTCAACTCGAAGGGCATCAGCGAACTGCCCTATTCTTTTACAAAGTGAACCACAGGAATGGGCACACTATCGATAACGCAGGCCGAAGCACAGATAAATCCACCATCTCACCTTGCTTCTCTGCAGATCGAACTTCTGCGTCGCTGAAGTTCCTGAAGACAGGACAAGCTGCAGACAACCAAGTCCTCGAAATACCTCGACTTGCGTTGCCTTACATTGCCTTGTCATTGCTGCCGAGCATCCAAAAATCCATCAGGTTCGTTATCATATTCACTACTCTCTCCGCCTGAGCTGAACATCAGATGCTCAAGACAAGACAACGCTGCACCGCATTGCACGGCAACGCAAAGCTGGATGTCGGCCGCGCCGCGCTCAGGCTGATCATTCCAAGCCTCAGATGCGAAATCACAGTCCCCATCCCTTTCCCAGGTAAAGCATTGCAAAGTTGTAGGCACGCGGCGGTTTCTGCATGGGACCAGGCTCCTCCAAAGCTGCAAGGTGCAGGACAAGAGCTCAGTCAGAACATTCTGTGGGGCGCTCGGAACTTCAAAAGTGCTAACCCCTCTGTCCATGTGAAACGCCAACGAGGTATTTGCACATCGGCTGAAATAAAACCGCCCCCCAGCAGCGCCGAGACAAGAAAAAACAAAGTGCCGTCCTGCGAAATCGTGTTTGACAGGCCCAAGATGCCATGCAAAGGAGTACGAAGCTCATGAAGTATCCTTCCCTGGCAGCGCTTGGCTGTGAGGTCAAAGCACTTGCAAGAAAACACAGAAACTCTACAAGTAACATTGCAAGCACGATTAAGCCCCCTGAACGGGCTTGCAAAGGGCACAGGGATGGGGCAAGTCAGGGTCGCATCCTCGTGATTGCTGTCGTTTTGTACAGTGATGCCACTTCTCGTTTAACTCTGTGTGTGTGTGTGTGCTGTTTTCGTTTGTTGTTTTCCTTAGGAAACTGTGTTTTTTGCATGTCTTTCATTCTTTCCCTGGGCCTTCGCATTTCTATATTTAGGGTCAAGGGTTAGGGTTATTGTTTTGTTCGTGGCTCGGGGTTTGTAAACTTAGTCCACGGATTGCTTAAGGATCTTTGAGGTTTTAGGATAAGGGAACGGTGCCCCGTGGCTGTCCCAGCTGGTTGTCCAGCGTCTGCATCCTCTGCGCAAGATCCCCCCACCCTGTTCTCTCGGCACGGTCCGTCGCTTCATCGGCCGACGGCGTTCTGGGGCCGCCAACATTAAACGGCCGAGCTGGCACAGCATCTTCTTTATCTTCTTCATCCTCTTCATCTTCTTCTGTCCCCCCTACAGGCTGCCAGGGCATTCCCTCAAGGCTTAAGGTCTTTAACTTTAACTTAAAGATCAACGGGGATCGGGCCGGTACCGGTATAAGCCAACGTTTCGTTATTGGCAGTTTTCCCTGGTACGTCCGAGGTCTTTTAGGTCGTTTTCCCTGTCAAAGCCTAAAGCATTGGGATGCGGAGAGGCTAAGCTTTGAAACAAACCTGACCACTGAAGCACTCCCTCCCAAAAACAAACCGACGCCGGGCACATGAAGTCAAACGGAGATTGTTGGCAGCAGAGATTCGTCGCCACCTGTTCTTAGGCCCATGCCTTCATGCGGTGGTTGGTGACATCCGTCGATCGTGTAGCGCCTGGGAGATCACCAGACGGCAGGATCTGACCCACCGCCAGAGCCCCAATGACCTTGCGTCGTGTGGCACGCAGCGCAGAACATCTCCAACCCCGACCATGCAAGGGTCGTGTTGTCATTACAGTAATGCATGTCAACCTCAAGCCGCCATAGATCGGCAAGCAACCCCCCTTTCCCCCCCTCCCCCCCGCGTGCCTTCCCGGTGAAGCTAAACTGCGGAGAGAAGCCCACCAGCATTTCCATTGCGGGCGCCAGGGTTATCCTTGCGTCTCTGTGTGACACCGAATACGCCACATTAAGCCACAATAAACGAAACCATATACAGCTTTTGACCCTGCAGTGAAGGCTCCGCACGGCTTGGCCAAAGTCACCAGCAAGGGCAGCATTGGCAGCTGTTTCTGCTCGACTTTTCGATTCCGCTCCAAGAAGATCCAGAAGCTTAGTCCTTGGCGCTGCAAGTGAAATTCTCAGAATTTTCCCATTATGCTGTTCATTTGCCCCTTGAGCCCAAGTGGCCCAGCTACTTTCTCCTTCTCTTCGCCGCTTCGATCGGCCAGGAGGTGGTTCCATTCAGTAACGCACCTTACGTTCCGCAGGGCGGGTTCCGACCAGCTCAATGATAACTCGCGGAGCAACAGAGGACATGACCGCAAGAACAGCCCCACAACATACATCAATACACCATACCCAGAAACGTACATCAAAGACGAACAGCATGTACAACAAAGGTGCCGCCAAAAAAAAAAAACTATGCGGTCTCCACAAGCATCCCAAACGCGAGGCGAAGTATTTGCTGCTTCTTAGAACTAGTGCTGCACATACTGCAGCCAGTTCTTGCTTTCTTCTCGGACCCTCGGGGAGTGGCAAAGGCTTGCTGAAAGTCGATGGCCCTTTGACTCCCCAGGAAATCCCAGGAACCCTGTCAGCAGCATCCGAACTGCATGTTTCGCTTGGGCCTTTGTTGTGGGTCCACCATGGCACTATACGAAGCTGCCCTACCCTGAAAGCCCCAAACAATAATTCCCCAAAGCTCCGATAAAGCCCGAAAAGCCCCCACATGCCCCCACAAAAACCGAAACCTCAAGCGTTCGAAAATAGGCCTACTGGGTCTACCGATAAGCCTCCAAAGCCTAAACCCCATGCCCAAAAGCTCAAAACCCTGAATCCCTAATCGCATTTCTCAGACCCGAGTTCAGACCTAAGTGAAGCGGAAATCAGTTCAGATGTCTGAACTGCAGGCTCAAGTGAAGCGTGATTTCTAGGCCTAAGTGAAGCGGCGGTTGCCGTATTTTGCACCACTGCCTAAAGTTTGGGCCTAAAGGGCCGGAAGACAAGTAGCAGATTGGAGTCGATGGAAAAGATGGCCGCATTAGCTCGATCCAGTTGTTCGGCGGCCGCGGTCTTGGAGAAGATGAATAGGTTGCCAACCGACACACATGCAGCCCACAATGCATCCACCCCACACACATGCAGATTCCTGTTTCTTGTGAGTCAAGAAGGTGCAACTTGAGCAACAACATCCAAAAGTGCCGAGTGGCTCGAATCCAGTCTGCCTGACATTGATGCCGAATGCAAGCCTAATCGCATGTGAGACTGCCACCTTGCCACCTTGCCTCTCCCAATCTCCGATCAACTTCTGCTGCGTCTTCGAAG